ATGCCGACAATTCCCATAGCAGGCTCCTGTAAAAATGCCGCACAATGAGAAGAGGTCCAGGCATCAGGGTCAGCTGACCTCTTCCAAAAAGGCTGGGAATCTGGTGAGCTCTCAGGGCTCAGAGTAGAGGGGCTTAGGGGAGATGGCCTGTTGCCCCTTATGACAATGGAAACGCGGCTGCTGAGGATAAGAAAAGAAGCTTTGAATGGCCAAGGCCAAGATGAGATAGAAATCTCTGAAGCTTAACAGGACCAAGTCGGGCAGCATGGGATCATGGGCCTCTGGGCTTTGATTCTATGAATGGGAGACTTCTGTGCTCTTGCATTAATCAGTTCACTTATTTATTCATTTATCCATTTGTGTGTGTGTATATATGGGTGTGCATGCATATCTCCATATATATCAGCATACACTCATCCATTCCTGCATTTATTCACTGAACAATTAAAGAACTACCATGGGCAATATTTATTCAGTCAGAAGTACTTATTAAGTTCTTACTGTGTACTTAGCTCTCTGGTGGGGATTTAGTAGTGAGCTGGAAGACCAAGTCTCTACCCTCTTGAAATTCAGAATCCAGCAGTTGTTAAATCAAAAGTGATAATGAGCCCTGAGAAGGATGCAAGGATAAGGGAAGAGGATATGGTACCCACCCTAATGGCCTTAGGATCCAGTTGGGGACACAAGTACTAAACAAATACAGACAGACTACACCTGTCTGATGGTGAAGAAAATCCACCCAGGGCGAGGATGGAAAAAAGAGGTGGGGGTGAAAGGAGGCCTCTGCATGTAAGGCCTCACGTCCCTCACGTCCCCCAAGCTTTCTCTGGCTCAGGAAACCTTGGCACACATGGTTCCTTCTGTCTGGAATGGTCTTCCCATTACTCTTTGTGTACTCCTCCTTTGGGGCTCTGCTTGAATGCCTCTTCTTCCAGGAAGCCTTCTCTGATCTCCATCCCTTGGCACAGCTTCATGACCCTGTGTAATGTGTTATGGAAGTGCTGAGTAGGGTTTGTCCAGCTGGATGGGCCAGAAAGCCTTCATGGAGGAAGTGGTAATTAAAGTGGATTTTGAAGGATGGGTAGGAATTTGAAGGAAATGAATGTGATGATAATTTTCAAGGGGAAGGAACAATCATGATAACAAGTCACGTAGATTAGAAAAGAGAAGTCACATTTTTTTTTTTTTTGGAGAGGTTTTCACTATAGGGCGTGTGCGCACGCCAGACAGACAGAAAGAGACATAGAGACAGAA